AACTCCAGCGTCCTGGAACTTCTTTAACAGGAGGAACCGGACAAGAAAATGATGTTTGCCAAATACCAACGTTCATCATCCATCCTTTGAATTGCAGAAAGATAATTCTAAAAACTCTGTAAAATCCGGATGGGTGGAACTTGATCTAAACTACATTTTATAATTGGATAAATTGGATATTTTACCACTGTAAAATATTTAATATTAACCAATCGTAATCCATCTAACTAACAACCCACTTATTTGTAAGTGCTGAAATTACTTGTAATTTCAGCACCAGAGAGATTTGAATTTAACTTAGAAATTAGTTGCCTCTCCAAGAAAACTTCAGCAGCCGCAATAAACCAGTATACCCTAGATCTATTGAGCCTAGCAGAGACTAGTTAAACACCCTGAGACTAGTAAGTATAAGAGTAAGATTAGGATCATTATTAGACTAAGAAGTTGCACGAATCTATCCGGCCGAAAATAAGATAGCGTGACGAGCAGACGGTGTACCCTATCTGAAATTACTCTATGAGTTAACCACATCGGTCCTAACTCATATAGGAGCAGCCTTAATTATCTCTGACGAGAGCATTTGATTTCTTCACGCAAATTTCATAGGCATATTAACATACGATTGGAAAACGTAACTTAAAACAATTCATTTTTGGTGCAGACGTTCTACATATTAGCCATACTCAATTTTTTCAGCCTGAAAACGAAAGCCAATACAGAAAGTCAATTAGAAAAACCTGTGTTATAATTTTAGTTCCAACTTTCTCTGTTGTTTGGTTGAGAAGTTTTTTTTTGTGTTGGAGAAAGCCTGAACTTTTGTTATAACCTGAGCCTAATCTGAAAAAAGAACATAAGAAAAAAGAATCAATCGGTTGAATTTTAAATTGACTAAAACTTAATTTTTTTGTCTCGAATTTAATCGATTTTATTTTGATTCAAATAGATTTTTTTAGATCTTCGCTACAATTTTTGTAAAGAAAAGATTGCGATCCATTTTTATATGTACGGGTGACTAGCGCAATCCATAATTTCTGTTTCTGTATGTCGAGCCAATTTAGCTAAATTTTTTTCCCTTATTGCCGGTGTAAAATTTGAGCTTGAATTCGGCATCTTTCTTCTTGATCTGAAGAGGAGTATGTCCAGAAGAGATCAACACCTGTGGTGTCTGTTCAACAGTTTATGCTGCAGTTAATTAAAATTGTGCTAATTCAGAGCGCTGAAAACCAAAAAAAGTCTATGTTTCATGCTTTGCTCTGCTTTTTTCATTCAAATATGACTTCTTGATGAAGTACCCTGGTTGACCAAATGTGTTAATCACCCGGATTGACCAAAAAAGCTTTTCCTACAAATTTCATATATATAAAAAATATTTATCATACAATTTTGTACAATTCCATGAATACAGAAAATGTTCAGAAAAATCTAAGATAAGCATTTTTTTAATACGGAAATTGTAGGACAAGCATTTTTTTCATAAATCAGAAAGCTGATTTTTCAAAACTTTATTTCTCAAAATTTTCGGGGTGTGTTTGTAACAGATTATAAGTCACTAAAACCATGGTTTACTCAAAACTAGAGTCACTAAAAGGATTAATTGTCTGGCCCTTACAATTCATTGGAAACTACCTGAATTGTGTAAGTGCTTTTTCACAAATCATATACTGAAAGCATGAAATTTTCAAAATATCAGACATTGATCAAGGCATGTATAAACAAGCCATACAAAAGAAAGAGGAGTTTTTAGCCTTTTTGAAAAAAATTATCCAGAGAAACGGAAAAAATCCAACTTTTGTGTATCAACAACTACGTTATGCACGTTTGCATCAAGTTTTTTGGAAAAAGTTTGCTTGAGTGCAAAATTCGATTTGCGGTTAAAAAATAAATAAAGTTTTGACGCAATTTCAATATTACTTGGAAAGTTTTTGTTCTAGCGATCAAAAAATTACTACTAAAACAATTTTAATAAATGGAAATGGTATAATAACCATTTTTTCCATACCCATAAACACAGTTTTTTTTATTTGGACTGTTTTATTAGGTTCAAATAGCTGCAGAAACTAGTTCAAATCTTTTTTCGATGATTTTTTGAAATTGTATGAGTAGCATTTTCCTTAAATGTATGGAATCATATGACAAGCATTTTCAGTGTATGGAATTGTAAGCTAAGCATTTTCGGTTTATGGAGGTTAACCCGGACATAAAATTGTCATATATGGAAAAATGCTAGTCATACACTTTTCAAGCAATTCCATAAGTGAAGAAAATTGCATGAAAAGTCTAGTATTAGTAATTTTTTGAATATGGAAATTTTATGACTAGCCTTTCTCATAAACCAAAAATTCTTCCTCTGCTTAAATTCTCAAAACTTTTGTGATGTGTTCGTGACCGAACACAAGTGACAACAACCATGGTTTAATCAAAATTGGAGTCACCAAAGGTTTGATCGTCTTGCAATTACCATGCATTGAAAAAGCCTCAATGGTATAAGAGTTTTGATCAAAGCATACATAAACATGCCATACAAAAAAGGAGTTTTTAGCGTTTTTGAAAAAAAAATTATCCAGAGAAACGAAAAATTATCCAATTTTTGTGCATCGAAGACTACGAATTTTTGTAGTTGCCTTCAACAAAATGCTATTCACACAATTTCCATAGAAGAATTGTATGGTTAGCATTCTCTTGGCAATTTTTTTAAATTATTTAGTACGATACACCGACTCTTATACCAAAACAAGAAAAAGATCCTTTGAAACTACGATGACACCATTTTAACAAAAATTATGAAATAGCATTTTTTCATAGAGTTAAACTAGCGAAATGTATGATTAGTATTTTTGGTCTATGGAAGTCAACCCGGTTGTTTTCCTCTAACCGTATCACAACTTTAAAGTTCTATCATATTCTCGATTTTTTCACATTTTCGATTAAAAAACATGACTGCTCGTATCGGGTTGAAACTTTAGTTCTTATGCTTAACTTTTACGGCCTATAAGGTAAAAAAAAGTGAAGAATGAGTGGATTTTATTTTTTCCATCCACATGCTACAATAGGTACAAAGTATTTATTTCAGATTTACAAAAATTAGTCCTCTTCTAGGAACACGTGCATTAGACAGGAAAGAGTGCGTCTGAAAAATTGGAATGATTTCTTATCCCGATTGGTTTGACGCTAAACCTGGAATGAATCTGAAAATGAAAATTGGTGAATAGCGCGCACTAATTGAAAATATGTCCACCATTATGCGAGCTGAAGCATGATTGTATAAAAAACTTTACCAGGGTTTATAGATCAAAAAAACTACTTTGGCTAAATAAACCATATCTTGATCACAAATTTTAAGTCACTTTCTTCTACAGTCGGAACAAAGAGTCAAGTCAGAGATGAAAATCTTCAATTTACAGTTAAATTAATCAGCTATTGCCATTCACATGGTTGCACTTTCAAACTCAAAAATGCTGTGAAGTCGGAAAAATTGTTTTGCAATTATTAAATTAATCTCACACATCCCAAAAACTCAGTGCAACGTCAATTTTTGGTCGTTTTTAGAAAGATACTACTTTTAAATTGGGTCTCATGCATGTGCAAAACAAAGCTCATAGAATATAAAACTTTCAAAGGAAGCTACTGAAATCTGGTGTGAAAACAAAACAAAAAACGACTGATTATACAAAATTGATTCTTGTCAATACTTTGATAGAGTTTGAAAAACATGTTGAGCAATATATTTCTAGAAATAAATATAATCTGAATTGATTCAGTCTTCAGATAACTCTTTTGTTAAACTCTGATGGTATTGAAAAATTGAGTTTCAGGTTGGTTATTTTGTAGCTGACATTGAAATATGACTTATGTGCTGGAAATTAGCTTACATTATGTTTTTTTTTTTCAGAATACTTTCGAAGAATTTGACGGAATTTTATTGAATTGTAACTTGCAAAATTTGGTTGAAAGTCTTTTCTGCAGTCTGAGAGTTTTGATTTCTTGAGCTCAAACTAACAAAAAAATCTCTGATCAATTTTGGAAATTTAGGGGTGGTCAGTATTTTTTGCTCTGTTAAAATGAGTATTAAGAGTCAATACATCTAATACATCTAAGAAATTGCGGAAACTACTTGCATTTGCCAAATCAAGAACAAATGTTTTTTTTCTCGTGGCTATTTTGCGTCACAAACAAATGCTGACAAATTTTACGTTACAGTTATTTGCGCGCGGAATCTACTAAAATATTGAAGTGAAAACCCTTTATATTTTATTTGTCACTGGATTTGAATGACCTACACACATCAAATAGAGCGTTTTTCCAGTAGGCAGTTTGGCCTCGTAATGCTGATTGAAGATTTGATTCTGTTAAATCAGTCAGCGTTTGAATTTGATTTTTATCATGAACTACTTAATAAATACTTAATTAGTTAAAACAAAAGGGTTTACCCCTATTCGAGCAGTCCTATTAAGTAAAGTTTTTCTATTTTGAAAAAATATGGTAACTGTACGTTTATTGCAAAAAAATACCCTATGAAAAAAAACGTTACTGTTTTTGTTTTTTTTTTAAATTATTTTTTGAATGAAAACTAAAAACTAAATCACTTTATGAATCCATATTTAATAATTTTAGGTTTCAGAATGCTTGAAGTAACAAGGAACCAGGTAATTTGTTATTTTTTTTACTGTTCTGCTCAATTCTCAACTTTCAATGACATTTTCATTTGCGCAATTCAGGATGTAAACAATAAACAAAAACCATTTAACATTGCAAATTATATATTTAAAGTTAACCGTTTTTTGATTTGAGATCTCAAAGTCTTAGGTTCGAACAAGATTCAAGTTTCAATAAACGTTTTATTTTGCTATTTAATTGAAAACAAATTAATGTTCGTCAAACTTTTCTCGAACTCTGGGTCAAATTTTCCGATTTGCGCAAATGTCACTGACGACATCTCTTGCGCAAATCAGGATGTAAACAATAAACAAAATCACGCGTTACAATGACGTCAATTTAAACACTTTACCATTGTGACGCTTTCGTCAAAGTTTTCAGTTTGGCAGCTAAAATCACTAAAGTTAGCTGATCAAGTCAATATACTCAGCTCTGAATTTTTTAAAAATCTATGCGGAGAAAAATAAATTTATTAGATTTCGCATATTTTTTTTTCAAACAAATGAAGATGTTGGCAGTAATAGTAAGTCATGTTGCTTCAAATTCTCAACAGATTTTTCCTTAGAATCTTAAAGATTGCATTTAAGCAATTTTGGATTTAACACTTTTTTATCTTATTTTGGCGTTTCAACGATGAACCGAAGAGTTGTTTTTTTTTATAGATTTTTAAATGATTTTTTAATTTAGATTTGATTGTATTTCATTGTGAATTAGTCGATTGTTAAATTTTTATACAGAAGCAGGATAAAAAACATTTAAAAAAATCATAACGAAACAGAAAAGGCAAATTTTCGGTCAAATCTACAAGGCTACTTGTTAGAGATTTTTTTGATAGAACACCAAAACATCATGCAGGAGGTATATAACTCGAGTCGCATTTTGTTTTGGCAACAGAAAGCATCAAAAACAGATATTAACAACGATAGCTGCTTGCTGAGCAAGACGCACATAATGTTCCGACCACTTTCACTAAAAAAAAAACAAAAAAAAGTTTTGTTTTTCCAAGTTAACTTAGCTTTTTTCGGCCACCCTATAAAAAACTCCTCTATCTTAGAACTTTTTATCAGAGTTGTTGGAAGTTTCCGCTATCTTACAACCTTCTTATAAAAAAAATTTCTAAGATAGAGGAGTTTTTTTTCTAGGATGGTTAACTTGTTGTATGCACACATCAGTAGCAGCAAACTTTAGTCGAAAAAAATGGAAATAACATGTTCTGTGTTTTTTAAAATATTTTTTTTGTATAATTTACATTTCTTCTCGCTGAAAAATGCAATAGTATATAAAATGTTTGGACTCTCGAATGGAAAAAATTTCTTCTGAAACGTTATACCAAAAATTATCATCGGTTTGTAAGAAAAGTCACCATCTTATAACTTTCTTGCAACATTCTTACAGCCTAATTTCTTAAGAAGTAGTAAAAAGTCTTTAAGAAAAGTTCTAAGGTAGCAACTTTTGGTCATCTCGGGCAATTATTGCTGTTGGTTTTGATGAAACTTAAACATGTGAAGATAAACAACAAGAAAAATTTTTAGTTCATCCTTAAAATTAGCAATTTTAGCGTGCACCGCGGGCCAATAATTGATTTCTGGTGGTTGCGTTTACAGATTGTGTTTATTTTTCTATCACTTAGTTCGGATCAAGTTAACATCCTCCCCCCTAATAGACCAAGTTAAGATCTTCCACCCCAGCGCTTAAATTAAATTAAATTTGCTAAGCGCTGCATGTAAAATGCTCGATTCTGATTGGCTGAAAATTCCCAACTTAGAACCAAGTCAACATCCACCCCCCTAAACGTATTTAGGGGGAGGGTGTTAACTTGGGCCCTTTAGTTCTGTTCAATTGGAATTATTGTTTTTCAGGCGCTGGTTTGTGTTGTTTCTGTGTCAATCGATGCTGCCGGTGACCAGAGAAACTTGAACAGCTCACAGCCGCTGAGTGATGATATTTGTCAAGCGGTACGCCAATTGGGCCTAGACCTAGGAAATTAGACGATATGCAAATTAGACGGATGCTACAAAAACTTAATTAGACGGAATTTATCTTTTACAGATCTGGCATTTTAGACGAAAAAGCTATGAAAAAGAAAGGGCCAACAAAGTTTTTTCTTAATATTCAATTTTCAAAATACAAAAAGAACATAAAATGTCAAAACCTATCAAAACAATTAGTTTAAATGAACAAAAAATTTCAAATCCGAATATAACAAAAGAATTCGAACTGAATAAGTTATGCATGATTGACTTTTAAGTTTTTGGCTACTGAAATTTAACTGTTGTCTACAAACATTTTTTTCTCGCGCAATTTTTCTGCAAACAATTTTAACCTCTCTCACTTTTGTCTATTTTCTCACAATTCCAGTTTTTCAAAATCGTCTATATTCCTTTTAACATTTTTCATCTAGTTTGATCATCGTCTAATTTCTCAACCTCCACGCAAATTGCCGTACTATAGAATTAAATGTGACAAAACTGCTCGTATCAGGGCGAAGCCCTGAATGTTTCGACTGCATTTAAGGTCTATGGAGCAGTAATAACATGAAAAAAATGAACTGTTATATAAATTGATGTAAGCTTTTTTTCGTAAAACTTGTGAAAATCATCCCTAACACAAATATGCTTCCTTCAACAAATTTGGAACGATTTCTGAGACGGATTAAATCTCGGCTTACGCGTTATTAGCGCCAAATACATGGCGCGTTAATTGTCCCAAATTGACTTAAACAGAAATTTTTAAGCCCCAATAACCAGGCACGGATCTAGGAATTTCTCGAGGAGGGGGGGCGGTTTTCCAAAAAATGTGGAATTTTTTCGTCGAGCTTTTTTTTTAGGTAGACCAAAATAATTTTCTGAAAACCCCCTCAAAATTATTATAGATTGGCGCCGAAATTCAGTCAGCCAAAAATGGATATCTCAAAATAGTACAAAGAGGGGACCCTTTGGGTCGGCAGAAGGTCGAATCGCTGAAAGGGGAGGCGTCCGCCCCCTTCCCCTAAATCCGCTACTGCCAATAACTTTACGAAAAATGATCACAGGTGAAATATCTTTTCAAATTTAAGCTCAGGACAACAATACTTTTCGAATGATATAAAAAACTCCGTCAAAAATTGCTAGTTAAGAAGTCGAAATTTGTCTGAAGAAAAAAGCCCCACCCCGAGCACAAACATTCCGAGCTCAAATATTCCTCCGTTAATTTCGTTACGAAAGTCGGAACAAAAAATTACTTGCACAGAAATTTTGATTGATTCAAATTAACGATAGCAATGTTATAATTGATCATCATAGACAGAAAGTCAATCATCATAATTTCCTTTTTTTTTTCCTGGAAAAGTTATTACAAATATATCAAGCAAAATCTGAGCTTACTACCTCAAAAATAAAATAAAATAAAAACTATAAAAAAAGTCCAAAATGTTAATTTTTAACAAATAAAATCTGCTTTTCTTGTGCAGGCTTCACAGATGGGACCCGCTCTATCGGATTGTACAGCTCAGGATTGCGTAAACGGTTTGTGTGTTCTGCGACATGACGGTTCCCTGACATGCGAATGCTACGATTCATGGACAGGACCTTATTGCACTTATTGGTGTCCTTGTCTCGATTTTGAATGTGGCAATGGGACATGCGTTTGGGATAACACTGAGGAACAAACCAAATGTGAATGTGATTTGGGCTTCACTGGAAAGTACTGTGACCAATCCTCGGGCTGCGATTTCCATTCTTGTCACCACGGAGTTTGTCAAATTAACGGAGAGGAATCGACCAGCTGTAGTTGCGAGCAAGGCTGGGCTGGTGAATTTTGCGATGAGTCCGCTCTGTGCTCAGTTTTGGATTGTGAAAATGGGTATTGCTTGTGGGACGAAGACAATGTTGCCCTCACTAAATGTCAATGTGATTGTGGTTTCTACGGAATACGATGTGAACTAATCAGTTCAACAACAACTGCAGCTCCAACTACAACCGAGCTACCTACTACAATTCCGACCACAACTACAACCGAGCTACCTAGTTCTACAACAACTGTACCATCAACTACAACGCCTAACGTCCCTCAATCGATAATTTTTCAAAGACGGACGATTTATGATGTAGATTTCAATGATCAATTGTTTGCCGCATATGAGAATGGATTTGGAGATGTGAATGATGAAAAAGGTGGCGATCTCTGGCTTGGTCTGGCAAAGATGAGTCAACTAACTTCAACTGGAAATTGGCATTTGAAAGTCATGTTCACGGATTTCGATAACAACTCATGGTGGTGCGAATATTCAGGTGATGTTTTTGAGAGTAGTACCACGTCGAACATCTCGATTTGCAAAACGAAACGCTTCGCTCAAAAACTTCAATATTGGGATGTAGAGAAACAATGAAAGTAGACTATTTTAGACAAGCTGCGCAGCGTTGGATAAGTCCTCCGCAATATACGGATTCCGAAGTTTTTACAATAATTACCTAACTATGATTCACAAAAAATAAAGTATTACAAATTATAAGAGAAATTCAACCGTACTTTGAATGAGCGTAAGACCACTTGTATGATGCCTTGTTCAGATGATAACTTCAAAGTTTTTTTTTCTGGCTATAGCTAAGAAACTGTGACAAGTCTCAGAATTACCAATACCCCTTTTTGCCTGTATTGTATATTTGAAGAGAAACCTGGTGAATCTGCTATTGGAACAAGCAACGTTTCAATTTCTCAAAAAACTTTGATAGTTTAAACATACAAATTTCATTTTAAAGTGATCGAAAATTTTCATTTCAATTCCCAAGAAACCGGAAATATAGTTTTATATCATATTTAAACAGAGATTTTTGCTGACCACTTTCTGTATATATATATATATATACAATCAATTGATTAAGAAATGATGTATTTTCAGGTTTCAAGATCCTAGCTGGTTCGAATTACAACTTGAAATTCACTGGTTGGGTTGACGGGAACTACGACAGTGATTATGGGACTAACTTGGGATTGGACTATCAACGCAACATGGCATTCTCTACGTCTGATCACGATAACGATCTGTGGAGTGATAATTGTGCAGCTGCATACGGTGGTGGATGGTGGCATAGAAGTTGTTTTTATTTAAATCTGAATAACGCTCAAGCTAACTCTCAGAGTAACGGCGATACTTCTCAGATGAGCGGCCAAATTTCTGTCAATGGTTCTCTTACCCGTTGGTTTTCCGTGCGCACGAGTGAGATGATCATGATAAAAATGGATTGAGCAAACTACCCATCAATCACTTCAGGTTATGATGCACGGAGCCAGAAAGTTTTCCTTGCAGTCAACAACTCAAAAAATGAATTCAACAACAAAGCTGCAACTTTTCCGTGTAAATTACCGTGTTTGAGGCTCTAAATTGGTGTTTATATATTCATAATGGTTTCCAATAGTCTTCAAGGATCATAAATTTCAAGACAGTACTAATCTATCACTGTGGCTTTTAGCTTCTATCTAAGCAACTGGTTAACTTAAATGCTGAATTGTTAAATTAATTTGATTCGAACTCAAAATACCTAACTACTTAACAAATACTTAACTCAAAATTCCTTGCTCATAAAAAACGATGAAAAGCATGATATAAAATAGAAAACAGTTTGATTCAAAATGAATAATTGTTAACATTTTTAACAGTGAAAGCAGGGGCGGATCTAGGATTTTCTCGAGGTGGGGACGGAATTTTAAAAAATCGAAAGTTTTATGGGCCTTTTTTAAAGTGAACCAAACTGATTTTTTGACCTCTACCAATCAGTTATAAAGACCTATTATCAGGGCGGATCTGGAATATTCTTGAGGGGGGGGGGCGAATTTTCAAAAAATTTTCGAAAATTTTGTCGACCTTTTTTTAGGTCGACCAAATTAAATTTTCGAGCACTCTTAAAGCATTACAAAGATCCTGTTTTAGCTATAATTTCTGCGCCGCAGGCAAAACAAAAAGTTGAAAAAACATTTTGTCGAAAAAGGCGTTTTTAGGCAATTTTTGGAAAATGTTGGCCAAAAAATCGCTTTTTTTTGACGCACGCTCCCACCTCAAATTTAGTATATATTGGCGCCGAAGATGCCTTTAGTAAAATTTTAGGGTCCGCCACCAAAAAATGGATGTCTCAAAATAGTACAAGGTGGGGACTGTACTAATTTAGAATCAGTCGAGCTTTGGGTCGGTAGGGGGTCGAATCTTTGAAGAACACCTATATCTGCTACTGAGAAGAAGTTTCATAACCTGTTTGAAAATATATTTATAAAATCAATAATTTTGCATCCGATTCTTCAATCGGTTACCAAAGCTTACAAACCAGAAACAAGTTTTAAATACAGAAAATTATTTTTCTTCTTTTAAAAATGATTTTGGGTCTGTGATGAAGCTGTTTCCATACCCTTACAAAAAAATGACTATTTTATTTCGTTGTAAGGTCTGCATCCGGTTGTTTAAAAAACGCACCTATTTTGGCTTTGTATTGAACTTGTTTTCTGCGAAACTTGCGAAATATTTCTTTTTCGTTGCAACAGCCTCCTCAACAGCTTGAAGGCGCATCACCTACATCTTGATTATTTGAAACTTCTTAGAAACAGCGCAAACTCTCCTTGCTTTTTATTTTGAAAAGCAAACGTTTTCAAAGAATCTAGAACCAATTTTAAAACCTAAAGCTCATTCTGGAAAAGTTATAAAAACCTTGAAAAAAGTCTTAAGCGTGTATACGCCATGTTGTTCAATTGCCATTTGACTTTCGCTTTCTCTTCAAGTCCAAATCATGTTCATTTGTTAAAAGCGAGCAAACTGTGTTATGCAATTGCAAACGAAGAAATGGCGCAGAAAAACAAATTTGACATCTAGTTTCAATAATGGGTATTTTTTTCTCAGAAATGCCAGCTAAATTAATTTTTCTCGAATTGATTTTTTATCAAAAAATTTCAATGATAATTGTTCCTGAAACTCCAAACGCCTTAGTTTCATATACAATTTTAGCCAAATCTAAGCCAAATCTAAAGTTCCTTCGGTTGAATAACGGACGGAACAAATTTTATATGCATGTCAAATACATTTTCCTAATTTTGAGCATTGCTTCTAGATTGCAATCATTTTTCGCTACCTTTTTAATTTCTCCGCGAACTCTTAGAACTTTTTTCCTATTTATGCCGAAAAGTTTCAAAAATTGGAATAGCCAAATCGAAAAAAATTTTACTCGAACAACTCCGATTGTGATATCCAGGGGATGTTTGAAATAAGCATGTATCATTTTTACCGCTACCTTTACCGCTATGACCATTGTAAAAAAGTTGCAATTTTGAATTTTCCAGAAACTTATGAAAATTTGTTCTTTGATATTAAGCGGCTCATTTTGTTGCATGTAAGGCTAAACATGTTGCAGATTTCAAAGCCATGATACAATTAATTTTGGAAATCCGCACTGACAAAAATAGATTAGGATCGATTTTAGTATGAAAAAAGTATGTTGATTAAATTTAGATTGATTTTAGTAGGAAAAAAGTACGTTGATTAATTTTAGATCGATTTTAGTATGAAAAAAGTACGAAGATAAAACAAAAAAGATGAAGGTTGATTTGGATCGATTTAAACTCGACTTAAATTGATTTTAAATCCCAGCTAAAAAAAATTGATCCAAATCGTTTTTAAATCAATTTAAATGTTTTTTTTCCAGTCTGAGTTTGTTTTTAATTTTAAGGGAATTAAAACGGATTTAAATCAATTCAAATCGGTTTTTTTTATTTGAAATTTATCAGTTTCGAAATTTGATTGCAATTATTCATTGCCTATCACTTTTCATTTTACATCCATAGCGTATTGTAGCATAAAAAGACCAAATAAAAAGACCAAAATATCGATAAAATTCTTTCATTTTCTTGCATATTTTGAGTTCAAAAATTGATCTATATTGACCCTTTTCTTGATTCGTTTTATAAGTTTTGCCCAAAATCTGATTCATTATCATATCTTTCTATGTTATAATTGCATATAAACGAGATCAAGTTTTAATTTATTCTGACCTTTTTCTTGTTTGTTACATGGGATTTTGCAAAATCTGTTTTACAACAATTTCTATAATTTCATTGCCTTTTTTCGAACTTGAAACTGATTTATGTGGATATTTTTATTAAATTCTATAACATCTGGCTCAAGTGTTTACATTTAAAAAATCGAGAATAAAAATTTCTAACAATTTTTCAAAGTGTATGTTTTTTTTCGCCTTGTTAGCAAAAAAAATCTATTTTCGTGTGTCGGAAAATACATCGAAATCGACTTAAATCGATTTTTAGACACTTAAATTGATTTATAACTTTCAAAAAGATCGATTTAAATCGATTTAAAATGGATTTAAGTGAGCTTCTGATGGATTTAAGTGAGATTCGGATGGATTTTAGTGAGTCGGAAAATCCATCGAAATCGATTTGAATCGATTTTTTAGACACTTAAATCGATTTAAAACTTTCAAAAAGATCGATTGAAATTGATTTAAAATCCATTTAAGTTCGTAAAATGTACATGGTTAATCGATTTGGATCGATTTAAAATCGATTTAAAATCAATTTAAATCGACCGGAAACCATTTCTGTCAGTGCTGGAATGACGAGTAATTTGTTTGTTTTCTATAGTGAAATCTTGTTTTTTGACTAGTTGAAAGTCGCTGAGTAATAGCACTGCAGAACGGTTTGAGACTGATTACTTTTTTTCGGGAACGACACGTTCCCTTATTGAAAAACGAAAGGAAAACTCGATTTTCTACGTACATATTTTTTCTTAATTGCAACTATTTCGGACTGATAATTTATGCACTAGCTATATACCAATTAAGTTGGATGCAACATTGTATTTAGTTGTTTGCAACATTTGTTATGTGCAACAAGTATTTTAATCGTCTGTGTTTTTGTTCCGACTTTCGATACGAAAGAAACGGAATATTTGTGCTCGGGTGGGTTTTTTTTTCTTCAGACAAATTTCGACCTTTTAACTAGCCATTTTTGACGGAACTTTTTTATCATTCGAAAGGTATTATTGCCTTGAGCTCAAATTTGAAAAGATATTTCACCTGTGATCATTTTTTGTAAAATTACGGGGGTTTAAAGATTGCCATTTTGGCCAATTTGGGACAATTAACGCGCGATGTATTTCGCGTTATTAACGCGTAAGCACAGATTTAATCCGTCTTATAAATCGTTCCAAATTGGTTGAACGAAGCTTATATGCCATAATAGATTTGTTACAAGGAACGAAATCTCTCTTTTTGTACTTTATATGGCGTGTGGGGGGATGATTTTTATAAAAAATTTCAAATTTTAGAATTTTTTTTTTCATTTTGTTTTATTTCATTGATTTTTTTAATGTTATTACTGCTCCATAAACCTAAAAAGGCAGTCGGAACATTCGAGGCTTCACCCTGATACGAGCAGTCTTTTTCAATTCTCAATTCACTCTTTCAAAAAATGTTGATTGCAAGAACAAAACATAGGGCCGCATGTATCAGGTTCTGAGAAGCACCGTAAAGTTAAAGTAATCAGCAGGATAATTTGAAGTCATCATTTAACTACTTAGTTAGTGGCATTCTTTTTAGTTGTTCCGACTTTCGATACGAAAGTAACGGAATATTTGTGCTCGGGGTAGGTTTTTTTTCTTCAGACAAATTTCGACTTTTTAACTAGCCATTTTTGACGGAATTTTTTAACATCATTCGAAAGGTATTGTTGTCCTGAGCTCAAATTTGAAAAGATATTTCACTTGTGATTATTTTTCGTAGAGTTATGAGGGTTTAAAGATTGCCATATTGGCCATTTTGACTAATTTGGGACAATTAACGCGCGGTATATTTAGCGCTATTAACGCGTAAGCGGAGAGTTAATCCGTCTTAGAAATTGTTCCAAATTGGTTAAAAGAAGCTTATTTGCCATAATTGGTTTGTTGCAAGGAGCGAAATTTGTCTTTTTGTACTTTATATGGCGTGTGGTGGATGATTTTCATAAAAACTTCAAATTTTAGAAAACTTTTTTTTTTCATTTTGCTTTATTTCATTGAATTTTTTTAATGCTATTACTGCTCCATAAACCTTAAAATGCAGTCGGAACATTGAGGGCTTCGCCCTGATACGAGCAGTCTTGTTTTCTTTCGTTCTTTTTAAGTAAATTACATTAAAAATTAATACAAAACCGTATGAATGACAATCAATTCTTTTAAAATTTGCAATTGATTCCTTTTCTGCAGTACTACTATCCCTCATTTTGTTAAAATGCTATTTAGTTTGATCATGATTTTTGTAAAAATGAAGATATAAACATAGACATTACAAATTTATCAATCCTGCTACTACTATGAAAACTGAATTTCGCAACAAAATCTAAAACGGAAAATCAAAACCCTTCAAAATGTATAACAGTACTTTACCAGGTACTTTTAACAACCTCGTCACCGCTTCATTTTCAATAAGTTTATGCGATTAACTTAATTGCGACCGCAGTTTTTTTCTCGT